TTTCGCAAGCAATGTTTTGAAACACGTTTCCTGGTTACGGTTCATTATTATGCAAATTCTCGCCTGGCTAATCCCGCTAGTCTGAACGCCCAGCAAAGTTAAGCCGGGCTTAACTCAAGCTTGGCTTATCTCCAAGTCTGAACGTAGCCTTACAGTATATAATCGTTGGTATGCCGGAGTTCTTTATTCGTAACACTTACTGGCCACATGTTCATTGATTTCGTATTCAATAAGAGCTCCAGGAACAGCATCTATGTAAATAAATAAGCTAACTTAACATTATTTTAGTTTTTGTAATCACCATATATGTTCTTTAAGTTTTATTGGTGTAATAGCAGTAAAACTACTGAATTTCGATTATATTATTTATGTATAAAAGACGAAATTTGGCCTACAGGCCAGATTTAAAATATTTAGTAAATGTTTGTCTGATAACTTGGTTCAATCTGATCAAACTACTTTTTATTTTGTTCCATATCAAAACATAGAATCAGTTATACATAAAAGGGTAAATAAATGAAATCAAATAAATTTTGCAACAATTGAATAACCCTACTAATTTTCATTACTTTCATTTTAAAACTATGACTACCAAATATGCATATTTTATATTGTTCATGTTAGATAATTTAAAACTGAAGTAAAAATCAAAATATTCAAATCTGAGGGTGCCATTTCTGGCTATCAGAGCTGCCGAAATCGTACAATTTTACGCCTCTGCAGCCCCATCCATGTTGGGTCTGAGGAGGTATAGACCCTACATCTGTCAAAACAGTGGCGTATGGGGAGGGCCTACTCAGTGGCGTATCTAGAAGTTTTGAAATGGGGGGGGTGATGGGGGGCGCGAAGTTGAAGTGGGGGATCGATGATTAGTTGAGGAATGCTAATTCGCAAAATAATCTGATTTTTAGGTGATTTTTTAACTACTTGGCCGTGATTTCTGGGGGAAACTGAGAGTGCGCCCCTCCCCCCGCGCGCACCCTCCTAAATACGCCACTGTGTCAAAATCCCTGTCTGGGCCCCTCTATTTTGAATTCCTAGATCCGCCACTGTTCAATGGTTTTTTTCGAGACTACGCAGAAAGTACTACTATCAGTAACAATTTTCTGAAGTAATTTATCATGTTTTATTCTTCGTCTTTCGCAATTTATCTGTAAATTTTTAATGACGATATAACTAAGTATAATTAATAATTATACTTAATGGAAACATAGAGGCTTAAAAGACAAATTAAAAAATATGATTAATGTTTATGTTAAGATAATTAAAAATACGGCAGCGTGTTTGTACACATTATTCGTGTTTCTATGGAGTTGTCACAATAGATTTACTCGATCCAGATGACATGATTAATCGATGAAGAGCAGACGGTTGTGGGATCCATTAGGGTCTTTAACAACATCTTTAGTCGATAGGTCAATTATCTTTTGACGAATTTTACTAGCAGGTACTCCACGAGATCTCAATATCGCAGCCACTCCTGTAATGTAATATACATGTAACAATATTATCTTGATTAGTAGTGGTATCAATTTTTATATTTTTATATCTTGAAATAAGATGATTTTACTATACTTCTCGTACTCATAATTGTATTGATATTCACCATGACAATTGCTATGTTGAACAATTTGATTATTTTATATGATATTGCATTTAAAGGTATTGTGTTTGAAACTTCCTTCATCGATGATTTGCTGAAAGTCGTCGTACACTCGAGTCGGGTCCGTTCCGCTTGATTGAGCAGCACAGCAGGATAATGTTAATACTGTTGCTGTTGTTAACTATGATATTTCTCTATACTAGGATCTACATTCGACTGTGGAATTATTTGTAATACATTGACTTACCTATAAAAACGATTATAATAATAAATTAGTAATTTCAGTTGATACTGTGGATGAGCAGTGTTGATAATAATATGATAAATAACTACATAAGCCTGAAGTTTGATTTAATGATGATTTAATTATTTAGTGTTATGATTGTATTGCTATTTTCTGAATGTTAATAATTATGATTGTTGTTATTTGATTGCCATAATTTTACGACACGTCTTGATATGACGGCAAGAAAGATAGAATAAATGATACAGCCGAAGCCAGTAAAATCGTTTCAGTGTCCTTATTGATCAGCATATTAAAGCTGCTACGTTGAGGCAGCTACAGTGCCGATAGACGGTCTATTTCTACACTGAGCTACTTAAGCTTAATAATAATAATAAAAACATAATAATTAGAAGTTATCGTTGTCAAATGTTTTTAAATTACAAATCATTGGCCTCACAACCTTGCATTTACTGTCAAACTTTGTCGGTACTATAGAATGGATAAAAATTGTACAGAAATAAGAAAAACTATGCCAAGTTTGGTTTCAAAGACGGAATGTTTCAATTTCGCATTGTGGGATCTATAGAAAACTGACCAATAGAATATAGAATAATCTTTAGATTGATACCAAATACATAGCCCCATGCTTACAAAATTATGTTGTACATACCATCGGAAATGTGGAACTAAAATTGTATAAAAACGAACTTTTGCTGTCAAAAATTTGAAAAAAAAAATTGAAGCATCCTTGAAACGATTACAATTACGTAAATATTGTAATAATAATAATAATAATAATAATAATAATAATAATAATAATAATAATAATAATAATAATAATAATAATAATAATAATAATACCCAAACTATTTTATAATTTTTGGTACATTTGTACCTTTTGTTTTTTGTTATTTTTTTTTTGTTTTCTTCTCTGTTGTTGTTGAGTGCCTCAAAGTAGTGACAATGTGGAGCACTGTATAAATCCAGAATTATATTATTATTGTTATTATTATTATCATTTGGCCTATTATTATAAAATTGAATCAAATTCGACTTACCTGAAACATGAGGTGTGGCCATGGACGTACCACTCATAATTTTCGTTCCGGTATTTGTTGCATTATCCAGGGATATAATAGCCACTCCTGGTGCGAAAATATCTACGGCGGATCCATAATTTGAAAATGACGCTCGTTTATCGTTTATATCTGTTGCCCCGACAGTAATTGCCTGCATTGATTTTAAAGATTTTATTTATAAATTTATGATATTATTAATTCAATCATTATGTGAACTACAATAACACAGGGTATGAATAGATTAGGGCTAGGGCATTGTAAGTTGGCAAAAATGATTTTTAATATTTTAGTCAATTGGTTAAAGACAGAATCATTTGGCGACTATATCCAAATGGTTAAACAGAAAGAAAAAAAATGTTAGAGTGCTCTGAGTAGGGAGTTTACTCGACCTCAATTTTATTTACGGACCTTTAAATTGAATTATAGTATTTACTGTCAATCAGGGGCGGCGCCAGCGGGGGGTCGAAGGGGAACCATTGGACCCCCGCTTAGATCCCCACTGTAGGGGAATTTCCAGCAAGTTCGTCGGGGAAAAATCAAATCTCAAGTGTCGAAAGTACAATTCAAGCATGCAATAAAGCTGTAAAATGTTAGGGATTAAAAACCCCTAATCGTCTGACTCTGAATCATCCAGTTCAGCATATAATTCTTCTTTTGTTTATCTATCCACATCAAAAAATTTAGCGTCCATTTAAACCACAGCCATCATGCGCTTTTAACATAAACATAAACAAACCGAGCTGCTGAATAATCTTTTAAACCCATCTGCTTTATATACAGTAGTGGTATCTGTCAATAGGCTGTCCATTCAAAATAATCCATGTCAAAATCTAAATTTGATATGTCCTGTGTATAAATATAACACTAAGGGAAGTAAAATTCGTACTTTTTCATTATTTTCAGTCCAGACCGATATCGAGGGGAGGGGATACTATACAGTTTATTTCAACTAGAAAATTTGCATTTATTCAAGAAATAATTATCAAGGCTAATAATTTCTTAATACCATTGTTTTCAAAACGCCACACGATTTATCACCGCGGCGGTAAGTTGGTTCAAAAATTTCACTGATGGACATAACAATCTATAGCCTTGAAAAATTCCGCCCGCTGTTACAGAGCACTGTACTTCGCGGAAAGCGACTCTTGTGGTGCATTATGAAAACATTACATACAAATTTAAATGTATTTACACATTAAGACTAGACAAGAATGCAACAATAATTGATTTAATTACTTCATAATTATTGATGCTCTTCCTACCAACCAATAATAATAAAAATACGTTTATCTTTATAGGGCGCAGAATGCAACAACCTTAATGCTAATCCCAAGCTGAGAGGTCGGTATGCACCCGACGGTCAACTGCCTTTAGCCTGGTTCACGTACGTCGAACTTTATCTGGATATACCCGTCTTGAAACATGATACGATAATCCCCTATTTGCGTTCAATGCCAAGTTAGAGCCAGATAAACAGCCAGCCAGATTCAGGCCGTCGACGTCACACGGTGGAAAGGCTTGTTTAATAAAACATCTACTGTAATTTACGAACCTCTAGTACCAAGTGGTATTCGTTCCAAAAAAATTGTAAACTATTGTAGAGAAGGTGTGAGTTTCCACTACAGTGCAGCAGCGTGTTCTATCGCAATCTAAGTAGTAGATTCTCTAGGCCCTAGCTGCATTTACCTTCGATAAAAAACGAATTATTTTAATCGCTAGCTAGCATTCTTCCATTTAACAAAATATTGTTTTAATTTTCATTAAAACGTATGTATACTTTATGAACCTTTCTGTCCTGTTTTGTAGTTTTTAGATCGCTCAATTGTGTTGTTTACATGCACTTCGCGAAAATCTAGCTTCGTGGTGTCAAATAAGTTGCCGACTTCCACACACTTTTTTATTTCGTCATCGTAAACATGTGCGCTCATTTTAACGACTGGCGTTGGTGGTAGTTCGTTGAAATTGAATTAATAGCGACTATTATAGCAGAAATGGAAAAGATTGATTGTCAATAAATAAATACAACAAATCTGATTTTATTATTAAGAAAAATATACATTATCACTTTGAAAAACGTACGCAATCGGACTTTTTAACGTTATTACTTGGTCGATGATGCAAAGGACAAAGGTCATTGGTAATATCGACTATTCGTAAAACGGACGTTTGCTGGGTTTTTACCCATAGTATTACAAATAATTTCTGAAAACCAGACTAATGAGACTACTTCGATGCTGTTGTCAGCATTGTTAAAGTACGTTGTTGCCAGCCAGAAGACGATAATGGTGGTACAATACAACAACGCTGACTTAGATGCCTATGTTACGTAATCGTGTCCTTGTAATCCGAGCCGACTTTACCGTTAAGCAAGTTAATTTACCGTTATTCTAGTAAAGTTAAGTCACTTAATTTAAGTGACTTAATTCCTTTATCTAGCTATAATTGAGTGGTTCACGTCGAACTTTTAACTAGTTAAGTGGATATATATCTAGATAAAAGTTCGACATGAACCAAGCTTTTGTCTACTCTATCCTCAGTTACAAACATAAAGAGTACCAGCCTGAACTAAATGACTGAAAAAACAAAACCAGTATATCTCGCGTATATAAATAAGCTATATTGCGTTTTGCGCAATGTGGACATCTTGCTAATTACGCCGTCGTCGGAGCTAAGACAACTATACAAGTTGTATAGTTGTTTCAGGTCGGACCGAAGGTACTAGGTACGCCTGGCGTATCTCAAGCCTGTTAACATAAACCTAGGTTATGGTAATTTGTTTATTTGCTATACTGTATATTCATAACGCTTGTTTTTTTAAATTGGCTATCTTAATATTAGGGGGAAAAAACATTAGCAACTCTTACCTCAATCACTCTACTAGGTGACCTGCTACAAGCATGTGTATTATTGTTTCCAGCTGAGACTACTGTGACGAAGCCATTTTTAATCAATTTCTTCACTGCATCATCAACCACTTTGATACTCGTCGGAAATCCAAGAGACATGGATACAACACTACCTTCGTACCCATTGGCGAGAATATAATTAATTGCTGGACACAAAAAATACATAATGCTGTGATAATGATAACTACAGTAGTTTTTGATTATATGTTGTGTGAATAAATGTGTGTAAGCCTATCGTTATTCCATTTATTATAAAGCAAACTTCTCTTTTACATACAGTACGAAAGGCAGGATTTAGTACAGACGGCCTCCCTTCAAGAGGACGGCTTTCCAACTCACAACCAGAGATATTTGTGCAGCGCTATCCCTGTTATTCGCATGCTCTAACGGTTTAGAGTCTATCACCTTATATTATTATTATTATTAATATTATTTTTATTATTATTATTATTATGACTATAATAATAATAATAATAATAATAATAATAATAATAATAATAACAATAATAATTACTATTATTATTATTATTATTATTATTATTGGTTTTTCCAAGCAACACTTGAAAAAAAGCCATTGTTTTTGTTCTGATTTTTTTATCTTTTTTCTTGTATATATTTTTCCTTTTTTTTTCTGGCCGTCAATTTCGTCACTTCCCATGCTTAGAATTTTTCCGTGCTTTGCCGAAGCATAGGCAATATATCAAGGATGTGCCTCCTAATATTTACTATGACAATCTAGGGTAGGGTGTGCGTGTGAGGACCAATTAAGGTGATTTAAGGGCAAACAATCTACACCGGATATTTCAAAAACCGGTTAGTTGCTCTGAATGAAACTTTCGAGAAAGTTAGTGTTACAAGGAAGAAATTGTTCTTGTGTTGGTGAAGATCCAGTGAAGGGTGTAATTTTGAGGGTCATTTCCTAAATATACCTAAATATCTCTTTTAAAAAAATCATTGGGTATAATTTAAACCTTATATAACAGTTTGTCAAGGTCGAGTAAAGAAATGATTATTTTTTGTGAAAACTGGGATAGGGTGTAGATCTGAGGACCACTGAATAGAAAACGTCCCAGACCACATATTTTGAAAACAGATTAACTGGTCTGAATGGAACATTCGGGAAAAGTTTAACCAAGTTACAAGAAGGATAGTATTATGCGTTCATTATACAAAATTCAGTCAAGGGTATAAATTTGAGTGTCATTAAAAAAATTTTAGAACCCAGACCTAAATATCTCTAAAAATTTTTCAATGGGTCTAAATGAAACTTTCTATAATAGTTTGTAAAGGTCTAGTAAATTTTCGACGACTCTGAGTAGGGTGTGGATATGAGGACCATTTAAGGAAAACGACCCAGACCAGATATTTCAAAAACGGGTCAACTGATCCGAATGAATCTTTCGGGAAAGTTTAACACAAGTTACAAGGAAGATAATTATTATGTGTTGGGGACGATCCAGATTAGGGTGTAAATTTGAGGGTCATTTAAATTGCTTACGTCTCAGTTATAAATGGAGAAAATTGAAACTTTGCAGAATAGTTTTTCATGGTGAAATGAAGAAATGATCCAATTTTAGTGATGATCCGCAATAGGGTAGGGATATGAGGACCATTAAAATACTTTTTTTTGACAGTTAAATTATTTAAACGCAATTTGCGTTTTCTAAAGCCCTTAAACAAGTCACAACTAGGTTAAACTCAAAACTACGGTGATATACATGAACAACTTTTGCTTTCAGTCATTACATCGCCATGAACTGAAAATGCACTGGCCTATGCAAGGTCGGGTCATATAGCGCGCAATGGTTATGAGTCACGATGTACCTCGCTATTATTATTGCAGCCATATAGTTCAAGTCTCACTAACGTCGTGGTGAACTTGGTTTTTGGGGGTTTTTTTCCCATTTTTTTTAAGTACTAAAACTATTTCTTTTTTAACTTTATATTTTTTAAAGACTTTCCTTTTTGTTGTAATTTCAACTTAATTTCTCATTAAAGCAGTGGGGAAAACCCTATGTTCTGTTGTTAAAATAGACATAGTAAGTCTAGTTATTATTGTTATTAATGTTGTTATTATATTTATTGTTATTGATGTTACCTATAGAGACAATAGAAAACCGTTTATAATCACCAATGTTGTTGTATTTAGTTACTATGGTAGCAACATTCTGGTTCTGGTGGGTAAAGCCGAACTCTTACGGACTCCAAAATTGTAGGAGTATAATACCCCAGTTTAAGACACGCAGCGTCAGCCATGAATAGGCTTGCCAAACTGCAGGATTGAGGTCCTGATAGTTAGGAAAGTCACAGTTACAGGCCGTATTGAGGACCTGATAGGTAGGACAGCGACAATTACACGAGCATCAGCTTTGCGGGGTAAAAATCATCGGTAGCATGCGCTGTTGAAATACTTCGTATGTCGCATACTTTTTACTTTTTAATATCGTTTAGTTTATTAAAGATATGCCGAGAAATTAAAATATCTGCCTAGAATGAGATATTTATCAAAAGGAGTGGAGTGGGTCCTAGTCAATGAATTTTTAATAAAATTCAATTCAGATTATTTGATAATTACTATAACAACATATTGTATACAAAATTTGTACAATTTTTAAAAAAAAATGGTGTTACAGTCGTCCTCATGTCGAAGCCTCTTGAACCTTACGCCTTTCCAGGGCACAACTCATAATATTTTTTTTTTAAATCGAGCAACAAAATACAATGTGACTACCATTACATCATGCATTATAATTTTGTCATAGTAATAATTTTTGTTTATGAATTTTTAATCAAATTTCTAGTATTTAATAAAACATTGAATTTGAGAGAACAAAAAGCCTTGGTTTCGCTCATAAAAGTATATCTCAATTGTTTTATTGTTATCTTTGTCTCGAATTGATTAAATTTGACATTCAATTATATTTTTACTCATCTATATCCATATTTATATATATATATATATATATAGTATTGTATATGTATATACATGGCAAAGTAATAACATAATTGTTGAAGTTCTGAAAAGAACTGTTGTAGTTGAGAAAGTCTATATATATATGGCTGTCTCTTATACAC